CCCTGCACTGCCCAACGGAGGTAAGGGGTGTCTGCGGGCGGCTGCAAGTAGTGCCGGGAGGATGATGATGGTGCTGAGGATGCTGCGGAGATACTTTGCTAAAGGACGGGTGTGCGGGCGGGAGGGGATGTGGTTCTTTGAGGGGGTTATTCCCCAGATCCTGCACCCATCCCGGGCTGGATCCGGCTGCCAGGGAAGGGCTGTGTTTGCTCTCCATCGCCAGGAGCTTATCGGTGATGTTTGTCCCCTCCAGCCGGGATGGCGTTTGCTTTTGGGGCAGGTCGGCGAGCACTGCGGCAAAGCTGCCGGGGTGTTATTGCAACGGGGCGTTACTGGATGTTGTTGCCCCCCTAAACCCACCACGTCTGGCTTTTGCTGCAGAAATCCGCTCAGCAGCCCCTGTGCCTTCGTCCCCACCGGTCCTTGTCCTCTCCGAAGTGCCCCAGCCCCTGTCTGCGGACGCGCTGGGTCCAGCCCTGCAGCAACTGGACCTTGCAGCACCCACCAGCCTTCAGGTGAGGATGACGGGGTGCAATCGCCCCAGTGCCTCAGTTTCCCCACCTGCAAGAGCATAAATGTAACGTGCCTTTACCTTGCCACACTCACCAGGCCCCTTCTGCCTTCCCTGCTGAATTGAGGCCGCCCAAATTTTGCCAGGAGCAAGCGGGCAAGCCGCAGTGGCAGGATGCAAATGGGTACCCGGAGAGGGACGGCTCCAGAGGTAAGGGGGGGGATGCAGCTGCACCATGCGGGCTCGTCCCCACTTGGAGAAACTGAGGCACACAGCATCGAACCCCTCTCCTTTCTTCCCACAGACATCTGTGCCTTCTGCCACAAAGTGGTGGGGCCCCGGGAGCCGACAGTGGAGGCGATGCGGAAGCAGTACCACGCCGACTGCTTCACCTGCCGGACGTGCCACCGGCTCCTGGCCGGCCAGCGCTACTACCAAAAAGACGGGCGTCCCACGTGCGATGCCTGCTACCAGGTACCCGTCCTCCCCCGGGGACAACCAGCACCCTCCAGCAAGGTGGCGGGAGATGCAGCACATTTGGGGGGAGCTGGCATCTCACGGCGTGTCTCCCCCAAACCCCAGGCCACGCTGGAGAAATGCGCCAAGTGCCGGGGGCTGATCACGGAGCGCATTGTCCGTGCCCTGGGCAAGGGCTACCACCCCGGCTGCTTCCCCCGGCTGCTTCTCCTGCGTCGCCTGTGGCCGGGCCATCGGCACCGAGAGCTTCGCCGTGGACGAGCGGGATGAGGTGTACTGCGTGGCCGACTTTTACAGGTTGGGGAGCACGGAAACGGGGGAGCATCCCCCCACATTGGGGGGGTTCAGCTCATCCCTGTCACCCCACAGGGCTCACACCGTTCCTGTTTGCTCCCATCAGGAAATACGCTGCGGTCTGCAGCGCCTGCGAGCACCCCATCGTCCCCCACGAGGACAAGGACACCTACAAGATTGAGTGCCTGGGACGTACTTTCCACGAGAGCTGCTACCGCTGCGAGGTACGGCCCCGAAAAGCCGAGGGGTTTGGCGCTGAGCCTTCGCAAAGCACAGCCGCAGGGCTCGCAGCACCCAGGGTTATTTTTTAGCCAGCAGTTTACCTTGCGAGCAACAGGGAGGGGGAAAAAATAAGTAAATTGGGTGAAAAGGACGATGTGTTCAGCCAGGAGAGCTTCAGCTTTTCATGCTTTTGATGTAGTTTCTTGTTTTTTTCCAAGTGTTGGTGGGTTCTGCAGGAAAGATGGGATGCGATGTGGCACGGGGACCCCTAAAATGTGGCCTCCCTTTCCTCTCTTGCCCCCAGAGCTGTGGGACACCCCTGTCGCCGGAGCCGACGGAGAACGGGTGCTACCCCCTGGGCGACCACCTCCTCTGCAAGTCCTGCCACGTCCGCTGGCGAAACGAGTCGTCCTGCTAAAACCCCGCGGCTCGACCTCCATCTTCCAGCACCGGACACCAAAAAGGGGGTGCACCCACCAGGATGCGCCCCATGGCAGGTCCCGAGTGCCTGCTGCACCCCTAAATAGGTGCAGGACTGGTGTTTTTGTCACCAAAATGTACCTGGGACCCCGACCCGCTGGGCTGGCCAGGCGGACAAGCGCAGATGTGGTGTCCCGACACAGCTCTGTGCTCATTAGGAACATAAAAAGCCCTGGCAGAGCAGCGGTGGTGGAGGAGCTGAGGTTTTGTTCACTTATTCCTTTTTTTAAACTCCTTTTCTGAGGCCGGTTTGGTTTCCTTGGGTGTTTCTTTTCTTTCTTCTCGAGCTTCCTTGGGGTTTCACTTAAGCATTTCTCTCTGCGGTGACACGGAGAGCGGGCACTGATTTAGTTACTTGCAGTTAAATAAAACCCCGAGTTTAAAACCCTCGTTTCTTTCATCCGCCCGGCATTCCAAACCCATAAAGTGTAAGTTTAAAAATAAGAAAAAAGCACCACTTTTTTAGTTATTTTTTTTTTATAGGTGTGGCAAGAGTTGGGTCACTTAGGGCGATTTTGGGGTGCAGCGATTTGGCCGATGCCGCTGTCACCCAGGGGAGAGTGGAGGGTCGATTTTTGCGATCTGCCGTGGTGTTGATGAAAGGGTGTTTGGTCGTGGGTGGTTTTTTTCCTCTTTTTTTGCTGACAGCCTGCCCTGCCTGGGCTCCATCACAACCGGGTCCCAGCACCGGCAGATGGCAGCCAGAGCACAAATTCCTCCATCAGGCAATAAAACTCCAGCTAAACCCTCGCTCTCCTAAATCCGACAGCGCCAGGATGCCAGGAAACACCGACAGCCCCGTTTTTGCACGTTACCCGAGATAATATCGCTTTCTTATCGGAAGCTTTTTGACCTTCTCTCAGTCCAAGCCCGAGACCGGCAGAAATTAGACCGTTTCTCTGTGCGTCCGACATGTGTGCAGCCGATGTCACCGGTGCTTAGCGGTTTTGTTTGCGAGGGCGTTGCAAAGCAGCTGGAGAAACAGGGGTTTTCTTTTTAACCAAAAAGGCTTAAAAAGCCACAAATTGAGGGCAGAAAATAGTGAGAGCGTCTAAGATGATGTTTAATGCTTTCCTGATGGAAAAAATGGGAGCTGCTAAAAAAAAAAAAGGCGACAACCAAACCAGCAGCCATATGCTTCTAGGTCATGTCCAATGGGTCTCCAGCGCGTACTGTACTTATGAATGAAAGGGTTAATGTATGGTTAACGTATGCTCTGGAGTCTGGCGGGCTGGTTGATTAATCACACCAACCCCGCAACTGTTTCCTGCCGACTCTCCCCATCTACAAAGCCTATTACTCAACGTTCGTTAATGTGCGTCTACAGCCCACCAATCAGGTCATAACTTGCTATAAACTTATTTATAAATAGGATGTTAATGTAAAGTTGTGGTCTGTCCCGGTCACGTAAGTAGGTAGCTTTGGGTCCAGCTGGGTGGGGACCCTGTGTCCCATGCCGGGGAAGTCCCGTCCTCGAAGTCAGCTCTTGCTTTCCAAAGCGTCTTGCCCTGTGGGGAAAACCAGGCACCAAAGCGATGCTAAAAAAATACAGACGTGGGCAGACTTGGCCGTGGCCAAAGGGAGCGGGGAAGGGAAGCCCCAGAGAGCAAAAGGTTGCTTGTTTTTTTGCAATATGGGTATTTTTCCAAGTGAGGTTTTCAGAGAGGATGGAAACACCGATGCTGAGCGGCATTTTAGATGCGTTAGTGCATTGCACGCTGGCTTAAACCCTCTGCACGGCACCCTTGGGTGCTCAGCATGCTACGCTACCCCTTTGCAGAGCTAATGGTGGGAAGGGGTCAGGTACTTCCCCTGCAGAGCAAGCCAGGATGGGCTGTTAGCACCAGGACTGTGGCAATTTTTGGCCGGAGGTAGGCAGAGAAATGTTTTTATCGATACGAAGCCTTGGAGCAGATGCTGGAGGACGAGGAGAAGGTCAAGGCGGAGCCGGAGAGTTTGGCAGCATGGCGAAAGGACGCAGAAGTGGTCAGATTTGGCCGATTTTTCCAGGAGTGGAAGATGACAAGGGACGGGGATGGATGGACATGGAGGTAAGATGATAGAACACTTATTTAAGTCATTTTTCTTTTCAAATAAGGGGAGAAGCATGACGAGCTGAGGCACGGGGAGAGTCGCTATGCCTGAAAAGCACAGCCCCACGTTTTCCCTGGGGAGGATCTCGAGGAATTTCCAGCACTGGCCGAGCTGCGTGGAGGAGGTTTTGCAGGGGTGAGGCTGCAGGAGCTGGGTCCCATCCTGCTGCCGAGCAAGCCCACGTCAGCTGTGACGGCTCAGCCCGTCCTTGGGCTCCTCGCCCCGCTCCAAGCGCTTTTGCAAGCGCCCAGGTTTGCTAGCAAAAATAAATACCAATCACGCATGGAGCAATACGAAGCTCCTACTCTGCCCTGGGAGTCCCCAAAGCCTTGCAGAGCCCCCCAAGACCACCAAGGTGTAAAACCCGCTCGAGGTCCCTCGTCTTCTTCCAGTGGCAGTGCATAAGGGTAAAGAGGGTTGTACGCCTCCGACTCGCAGCGGCTGCGCCCTGCCCTTCCTCGGCTGCTGCAATAAGTCTGTCTTTTCTTGCAATCCCTCTTGGCAGGCCAAGGAGAGCGGGGAGGGACCTGGCTGCCCTCCAAGGAGAAGCAAATGCAAATATTTCTTCACTTTAGGCTGGGTGCGGCCCGGGGATAAAAATTCCCTGGGCTTTCCCAGCGAGGGCATCCTGATACCGTACCCTGCTGCGAGCCCAATTTACTCCCAGGAATACAGCGGTGTATCTCATTAAAAAACAAAAACAAAAACCAACAAACAAAAACCAACAAAAAAACCCAGGTTATTTGTCTTGCAACTCAAATGACTGCCTGATTTTTAAAAAGAGCTTTTAAATTAAAGCAGGAGCTGACAGGCATGGCCGTAGTATTTTTTAAATCGGTGGTCACAGTCTTGCTTTGTAACAAATAAGGTCTTTTTGCACGTTTTGTTTGCAAGCTGAAGATTTTGGCTTGGTAGGAGGAAAGTAAACCCGTAAAGGGTCTGGAAAGCGCCTGTCCCCGTGAGAAATGTGAAAAGCAGAGAGGGAGAGATGTGCTGGATTGATTCCTCGTGTGCCTTCGCTCTGCCATCGCCGCCTCCAAGGTGCTGGGAAGGAGCTGGCTGTGCGGAGGGGAACGCTGCAGGAGAGGAAACTGAGGCCGAAGCAGCTGTAGGGGCTCTGCTGGCTGGAAAAGGTGCTGGGAGGAGGGCTGGGTGCTTAGTGCTGATGATGATTAGGATTTTTTCAATTTTTTTTTTTCTTTTTATCAACCTGGGTTTAATTGCAACCCTATCCCAGCTCGCTTGTAGCAGCGTTGTCCTTCCCTGCAGTCCGTTCAGACCCCTTTTTGGCACTTTCCTGTCTTCAACACAACCTAAAAAACTAACATTTCTTAAATGAAAAGTGGTCTGATCCTGCAGGTTAAGGGGGGGGGGAACCAGCAGGGATTACTCTGGGAGCAGCGCAAGTCCTGCATTTCTCCAGCTTCATTATACATCCGACCTGTGCTGTATAAAAAAATAATACATTATTCTCCTTATTTTCCCTGCAAAACTCAAACACCCCACAACTTATTTTTAAAGCATGCTATGTTTTTGATAATGCGAGGAGAAATCGATGCACTTGGTTATGCAAGTGTGTTACCAGGCTGCAAGTGATCTACTGGGTTATTTTTAAAAAAAAAAAAAAAAAAAAGGGGGGGAGGAACAACCCAAACACCAACCCGCCCTACTTCTGAAAATAGACGCATGGCACATGCCTGCAAGTAGGGCTTTTTACATTTTATATCCCAGCTTTTCTTCATTAATCAGTAGCAATTACAGCATCCTGCAGCCGTTTCCCCAAAATTAATGATCTTTTGCCCAGACCTGGCTTCAAGCAGTTTACGTTACATCTTTATTTTGCTGGAGTGTCCACTATAGCCCATAGCTGAGGTGTTTTATAAAAAAAAAAAAACCCAAACCTCTGTGCGAAATATTTTTTTTTTTTAAATCTCGTTTGTCAAGGCTGCTTAGTGACCTCGGTGATTTATGACTGGGAAAAAAGCTGGAGAGAGAAGGAGGGGGGAATAGCTCCTAAAAATAAATATATCCCTTAATTCTCTGTGCGGCCAAACTTTCTCTCACAGCCCAGCCGGGGGAATACGCTTTAATCTCCTTTATCGGATTGCTTCGCTCGAGGCTGAATCTCGCTGAGGCGATCGTCCTTCACCCGGCGTTTTAAGGGCGCCGTGTTTTGTACAGAAAAAGAGAAATAAGCAAGAAAAGGGAGAGTATTTGCCTGACAAAAGGGGCAGGAGGAGGAGGAGGTCGGGGGTTG